GGGGGGGGGGGGGGCTGATCAATTTTTTACACAACGGTGGTTTAGTTTTTGATCGAATACCATAGACCATTAAAATAATCTTTAAATTTTATTAACATTTGGGGGGGCTGCAGCCCCCTCAGCCTCCCCCCTGGCTACGCCACTGGCTCGTGACATGGATTTTATCGATGGTTGAATTCCGAAATCCAAACTGTCAGATGAAGGGTTTTTCTTCTATAAACTATAAATATTTTTTGAACGACTAAGAAAGAGCTTTTCAAAAAGCTTCCAAATGATTGTGAAAAGCGATACTGCCCTAAACAATTTACTAGAAATTTATGTATGAATAGGGGAAATATTTAATTCAATAAACTCATAATTTATGTCAGATTAGCTGTAAATGGTAAATGTATAATTTTTATTACATTATAATGAAAAACACTTATAATTAGATCAACATTGTGTGTTCAGATACTGAACGTACCTTTTACTATTTTGATGATGCAAATTATTTTGTAGTTAAAAATGTACAAAACTTTCAATTTGTATAGGTAAGGATTGAAAATGTAGAACAAAGTTTTTCATAGGTATTTCATATTTTAACCAAAAAATTATGCAACCGGTTTTAAAATAAAAAATAGATTTATATAACTATTTTAAGTTCAAATTTGGATGAAATTAGATTTGTAAACGGAGAATAACAACTATTAATTTTTTTTTAAATTTAAAAATATTATTCGTGATAGGTACTTGAAAATTTGAAAGTATATCAAATGAAATGTTTTTAGCAAAAATGAATTTAATTACTGTTTTACTAATAGTACGTACCTAAAATAAATAATTACTTCAATATAAATAATATAATTCAATATACTTTGTAATATAGGCTGATTGACCATTATCTCTCAAATTTTGTTTTCGTATAAAATGATTTTATATCATTGAAATCAAATTTTACATATCCATCACAGTGACTCACATAACATTGTCATTCTAAATGTATTAAACACTATATTAGAAAAACAGATAGGTATCTATATTATTCAAATGAACAATTTCTAAACAAATAATATAATTCCAATAGAAGAGTAAAACTGATGACAGTCTTAAGTCTTAATATAAATGATTGAATTTATCATTAGTATATTATTTTAAACATAAATTAATTATGTAAAAGTCAATCAAATTATTTAAAGTATGTATTAAAATAATTTGTTTCATTAAGACCAAAATTAGGTATGTGCTTACAAAACTAACTAAATGATTAATGAGTTTAAAAAAAGGAAAGTCATTAAAAAGTATTTAATTGATAAACATACCTATATATTTTTGTGGAATATATTGTAGTATCTGTAATCTTTAGTCCCTCGTAGCAGAATGTATACTTGTGGAATATTGATAAAATATAATATATTCATCTTCTCCTTGATGATACACCATTGGTATTGCAAATTTTTTTTTAATCATATATATTATTAAAATATTTTATTTTGTATTGTGTAAATAAGTATTTAACACTTTTTTAAGAACAATTTACAAACACGAAATATTGAAAAAGTAAATAAAGATAAAATGTATAGGTACTTACTCTAATAAGCAAAAAAAAAACAATCTTGAAATGTATTCAAAAATATTTGGAGGTAAACCCCATTAAGATTGAAATTAATTTTAATTATTTATTATTAATTTACATTGATCAAATATGATAAATATCGAGGAATAATATAAATGTCAGTGACTGCAGTTTGTTTTGTACAGCTGCAGACGCGGATACAGACAAGGACGCGATTGTGGTCGTGTGTCAGTATCACGGTGATTTTATTATGCTAATTACTTTTAAGGAATTGTATATTTAATTATTTTATTCCTAGAACTCATTAAAGAAATAATTTTCATCAAAGTAATAATAATAATAATAATAATAATTTTTATTTATTACTTTATTATATTTATTTAAATACCTAACCGTAATTAATTTTGTGAATTAGGTACTTTTAAGTTAAAAGTCAATGTGTGGTTCATTGACACGTGGTTTCCTGTGCCATCATGTCTCGAAGTTGCGAAGCAAATCATTCCAGGAGGAAAATGTAAGCATTGTCATTAGACTCGAATAGGGACAATTATAGATAGATAATACTACTAGATAGCCGATCAATTCTTATCAATGAGTTTTTCCGGTACTTGTCCAACATTTCCTGGGAGTGGGTAGTGTTTACTTTATTTTTAATGGGGTAACCGGAGTGTTGTGGCCTGTGGGCTGTTAAGAATTTTTAACTTTAACATCTGAAATTCTGACTGTAGGATTGTGGGCTGTAATATTTGATAACAGATGTAAACAAACCCCACCCAACATATGCCCCAACTTTTATAGTTATATGCAATAATACGTTGCCTGTACAGGAAAGTCGGCCATCCGTTAGTTTTATATATCAATAAGGATAATCAACAAAGTGGTTTGGACCAAAGATAATATTATCTATGGTGTAGAGTTTGGAGAGGGAGGTTTCTACATTTGGTTTCTCAGTTGGAAGTAAAAAAATCAGTAAAAACATTATTAAGAGAAATTTAAAATCAAAATACATCATCAAAAACAGTTATGTATGCTATTTATAAAATACATCAATAATCAACAATTAATATAAAATATTAAAAGTTATATTTATATTAAGTAAATATATTAAAAATAGATGAACGATTTTGTATTTTAATTTTCTTACTTTTACTATTCATATTTTTATTGGTCGGTGTATTATTTTTCTTTTTGACATCGAATCGTCCCAGCGTCCTATAACGGCCAAACGACCGTCGGCCACTTCCATTTATGCAGGGCCGTCCCGAAATACAAATCATGTGGTGGCTTGATTCAATAATTTGCCAACTATAAAAATAAAAATAAAAATGTTCCCGCTCCTCTCAAATTATTATTAATATTTATTGACATGCATCTCATAAACATATGGATATATTATATTCAGTTTTTACAGCTTTTCTCTAGTACATAATGTCAGAAAACATTTTTTGGTATTGGTCAGCACCAACGACAGTAGGTACCTACATGAGGTTAGGTAAAATTAAAACTTACAACATACAATTGTATGAGTATTTAATCACTGATAGTAAATAATAATAGTATGCATGAGTATTAAAATAATATAGGTTCCAAGTACCCACTAATAATATTTTTAAATTTCAAAAAAAAGTAAGTGCTTATAAAAAACGAAGACAGCTTTTTTTTGTTTAAGGTAAAAAACTTATGAGGAATCAGGAATCTTCTATTTAATCATTAAGATTTATGGTGAATTTAAGTTCAATTTGTTTTTTTAAATTACACTTTTTTTTTTTTGAGGAACCTTGTATTAAATATTCAAGTTTTTTAACCAAATGAAAAAAAAAATCGTCGACAATTTTTAAAAAACTTGTAAAAATCTAAATTATTAATGCCTATAAAAACGTAGCCAAGCAATGTGATTGAAACTGGGCAACCGTCCACTGCTTCTAGTTCCCGGATGGGTGACCACCCGGGTTCATAGTGGAAAAAACCTTGTTAAACGAGTTAACAACTGTACCAACCATACTGTAACTCCTTAAAATATTTAACAGCACCCAATGGCCTATGTTGCCGAAGGATAATTAATAAATAGCTACATTAAATAATATTGAGTTTTTTATTCAATATTATTTAAAATACCGAATTAAGAAAAAAAAACCAATGTTTTCCAGAAAATATTAGATAATATGCGGATGAAAATCAAGAAATTGACCCTTAAAATTTACATGAGCAAAATATGCATTTCAAATTTTAAATTTTTAAATTCACTCTAATGTTGTTCGGATTTTCAGCTCGGCCTCCTTAGTGGGAGGTTACTACGTTATTACGCTAACACCGGGTAGTCAGCAAACTAATTTTTCTTTGGTGGAATAGACTATGTACCTATACTACCTAATACCTATAGTCACTTTGTAAATTAATTTTAGAGCCTTTTATCACAGGACGGAAGGTTTGTTTTTTGATGAGAAAAATAGTTAGTCCTTCAAGTTCTAGCAGTCTGCGGATTTTGGAAACACAAACGATTCCCTGAAATTATGAAAAAATATCTTAACGTTGATTAAGCTTTTGGCATTTTTTACAGTATATTTGATATAAACGCGATCAAGGTGTAATTCACTAATTCCCATTGACCAATTAGGCATCAAAACCAATTGCTTATGTGATATTAGAATAGAATTTAGAAAACGCTGTAATGACTAATATAATCATCACACATACTATTGTCTTAGTTTTTGCTTAAATACTTAAACTTAAATTAGGTAATTAAATTTAACATGTATTGTGTAGATTATTTATTTCAATTTTTAATTTCATAAATTGTCATTCAATTTCTTATATTTTTATACTTAATTTAGGTGATACTATAATTATATTATTTATAAGAAAATTCTTATAACTTGCTCATATTTAATTAAATTTAACATAAGTACCTGTCGCATTATTGCTTTAATTTTTATACTGCGTGTCTGCGGATTTTTTTCTTGCATGAAGATTTTTTTCTTACTCGACCTTGGATAAGACCAGCAGTGGTAGTCCGCACTGATCACTGCCTAACTATCGAGATTAAATTTTTTTTTAAAGATGTGTTTTTCAACTCTGATTTTGAAACTAATTGCATTTTTTGAGGAAACCATTTTTTAGGAAGTTAAAGCCTTTCAAAGTTTGCGATTTCATTTTTATACGCATGTGTGCCAAATTACTGCCGCGCGGAGCACATGAAAGCACATAACCTGCTGGCATTGACCCAGCTCTCTGTGCTGCGCTCGGACAAAGAATTCAAAAATATCCCTCGACTTGTTGTGTAAAACCTGTATGTAGGTCTTGGAATTAAACAATGTTGTTGGAGATTTCAACAGAGTTGATGGCCAGTCTGTTGAACTAACATAAGTATATAAGTATGTGTATTAATATAGTGGCGATCTTCGCCTACCGGCTTCGGTCGCCAAACTTGAGTTGCTCCGCGCAGCAGTGAAGTAGTGTGGCGTGTATAAATTTAAAATCGCAAACTTTGAAAGGCTATAACTTCCAAAATAATGGTTTCCTCAAAATGCAAATACTTTCGAAATCAGAGTTGAAAAACACATCTTTAAAAAACAAAAATAGAAATTCATGAGGTGCGTTGTTAAGTGCGTTTTAGGCAAAATTTGTTGAATTGAAAATTCCTATTTTTTCCCCACGTTTTCGAAAACTACTGTAAAATTTCAATTTTGACCTCGAATGCACCAGTTTAACTAGATTCATTCTCTATCAAAATATCGGAGCATTTGTATTTTTCAAATGTTGATCACTGCAGATGGAAAAAAAACAGACATAATTGTTAATTTAATACAATACATTTACAGTTACAAGCTACGCTCAGAATCATAAAGGTTACAATCCCGTAATAGTAGGTATTGCTGTTTAACTGAACACTGAACGTTATCGTAATGAGGTTCATAAAGGCGTGTTTCCACTATACACGTGAGCGCATACATGCATAGAAATCCTTTGCTGTAATTGGTTGTTTAGGTTAGGTTACCACACGATTAACCACGTTACCGTGTTGTTGGGCAAAGCTGAACATTTTTCGTGTACACGGCACATGCATATAGTGGAAACCCGCCTAAATATATGGCTGCCGGTATCTTAGAATATCGGTGTACCGTGATCCAGTAACTAGTAACCACCGTTGACCGTTTTTACCGAAAATACCGTGACATGGTAATTACCGAAAATACCAAAGTGTACTTACATCTATTATTTATTATTTTTGTATAATCATTATGACATAATAAAATATTATAATTTTTGTCATCTGTTTCTGATATTATATTACTTGGAACAGAACGAACTATTTTTATAATATAAATTCCTCGGGATCCGGTATTTGCTGGGATGGTATGGTATTTTCGATAACCAGTAATACCGTAGATACCGGTAGTAAACAAAAACCGGATAACTGTATCAAAATTTGAAGTACAGCCAGCCCTAATGTATGCGTTTCCAAAAAACGATTAGACGATTTGTCCTAGAATCCTTTCCATGTAGATCGCCTGAGTACCTGATATAGGTGGATAAATCATTATTTTACTGTGTGGGCCTAAGGGATCGAAAACAGCAGCTGAAAATTAATTTGTCTTTCAAGATTATTATTTACTGAGGTACCCGAAAATATCATACAATTAAATTTTTTTTTAAACTTAGTTGATATCAAGATATGGCATACATTTTATATAGTTTTCATATGTTATTTGTGTTTAATTTTGGTTGAACACATAATACGAGTGATATCACTCCTACATAAAATTAATCTCAAAATTATTGTCTAAGATCAATTATATGTCGGTATACTGCAGCTAATCAATTATGACCAGTTATCAACATAACAATTTTGTAATCAAATGGTTGGAATTCAAAATAAATACCGGATACCTACTATAGATTAATTATAAAATAAAAATGCATATTTATATAATTTT